CCCCCCAAACCCCCTCCCGGTACCTCCCCCAACTTCTTCTTCTTCTTCGTTTTGAAAATCTAAACCAGACACCTTCCCTCCTCCATCTTCTTCTCTAGCACTCCCTTCACCCTAAAACCAACGACCCTTTTCACCCCAGAACCTCATCGGAAAAGCTTACCTCCGGCGACCTCTCTCATCATCTCTTTCCCATCTGGGTTTCCTAGTCTCTTTCCCTTTATCCTTTCTTTTTTCGATCTCGTACCTTTTTTTTTCTCCATGATTTGTTTGATTTGCAGTACAAATGGCCAAACAAAGAAACAAATTGAGTATCTTTTTATAGTTTTCCATTTGTTCTACTTCCTTGCTTGATTTTTTGCTTTAATTTGAATTTTATTGGGATTTTTTTTTATCTTTGTTGAGGTGGAATGTGATGGCGTGAGAGTAGGTTGTGGCTTGATTATGATGGTGGCTATGGCTTGATTGAGGATGGAAAAGGCGGGGTCCACATGAAAAAAAATTAAAGTAAAAATATAATTTTATGCATCTTCACACGCTCAAATATGAGTGAGACACACTCATTTTTCCATGTCACCTCAGAGTGTTTGCGAGTGTTGAGAAGAAAAAGCCTCCTCATAATTCTGATTTTCATGGTGGTTTATTTACATATAGAGAAGAAGATGAGATGAAGAAGAAGCAGACCTAATAGAGATGGTCTCAGACTAAAGTGCTCGATATAACCTAAGTCAAATAGGTTATATTTGGTCGACTTTGGATGGACACGTGGAGAAGGAAAGGCCTTTGGATCAAGCAAGCTAAATCCATGATTGATTAAATAGAGACCATTTGATTATAATAGTACTTGAAGCTTCCCTCACGTAAATGACATGTGAGGGAATATAAGTTAGTTATCAGTGGGCAAGGACAAGTGTACAGACTTTTCTTTTTCTGCTCATCCTTTTATTCCTCAGCAAGTGTATATATATGTACATGGAAGTGATGAAATACAGAGAAATTTTCAGAATTCACTCTTCAAATTCGTTCAGCGAGACATACTAAAAACCAACATAAAGCATCCATATGGTCACCTGATAAGCTGGAGTGTGAGAGAGACATATGGGGCCAACTTTAAGTGTCTGTTTATGTATTTGCCTTTTTTTTATATTTATATTTTGACCACTAAAGCATAATAGTAACTAAGATCAATAACGTCTCAAGAATGACTAATTCGCTTAGCTATAATATCAAAAATAACTACTAAAGAAATCGATTATAAAAGTTTGGGCCTCTAATTGTAGTTGCACTTTAGGCGCCGCCCCTGTCTAGAAGCAGATCAGGAGACAATAGCGGTGATTAGAGCACTAAGGGAAGCCAACGCAGTTTGTATTTTGGTTAACCAAAAATCCAAAATATCTTATCTTTTTTGTCTGTGCCACTTATGAAGAAGCTAAAGCAGCCAAATTGTCATTGGTTTCAAAATTGACAAACAACGGAAGAAGACAACACAAAGGCCTAGAAAACAGCACGATCTTGAAACAAAGCTGGAGACTGTTGAGACTCAACTTGACAGCATCGAAAAGGGATTGGAAGGAACATTCAGGAGCTTAATTAGATCAAGAAGCTTGCTCCTGAATGTTTTCTCTTGCTAATCTGGATGTTCTTACTCCATTAACTGTATAGTTCACCATAATTGTGTACATGAACAATTTTGTACCTATGCTAGAAACATATCATACGCAAATTGAAAAATTATACTCCAAACTTCGTGTATATATCTTTCTCTCTATCTGGCTTATCTGACTCCCTTCTCCCCCTACCTAATAAACATCTATCTGAAAAACAAAAATCAGATGTCATAGGCATCTCATGGGTTACAAATTAGAGGACAGTTTTAAAGTTTTCTGAACAAAACTTATAAAACTTGCTTGACCCGGGATTTTCCAACAAGATGCCTATAGTAGATGTATTTTTTAATTACAGATTTTCATTGCATCTTGTGAATTGGTTCATTAAGTTTATTTAGCAACTATGTGTTACCCCATTTCTGGCACAAAGTAGTAATTGTTGGTAATTCTTTCTTAGACATTTAGAGGTTGGGTCAGGGGAAGACGAAGGAAGTTGGTTTTCAAAAAAGTTGTAAAAAATTAATGAACCACCCGTGCGCAGCTCTGTAAAAATAAAAAATGTCTTTACACGTCTTATACTCCATCTGGGGTATCTTAGAAAACAATCAGTTTCAGAGAAATGTATAGTAAGTTTCCTAGTTAGCTGTGGCCTGTGAGCATGTGCTGCAATTATGGAATCTGTAATCTACAGAGCCAACAAGCCAAACGTGTATCAATTTATTAATGGAACAGAAGCTCCTCAAAACGAGACAGCAATTAAGCTAAGCCCACATTATTCATTTAGTTCGAAGACTTTAAAAAACAAATGATTAGATCCTTTGTTCCACAAATATTTGCATTGAAGTTCACAAAAAAGTCATACGCGTGGCCACTTTATTAACACGTGCTCTTCTTCTCTCCAATGCTAGAGTATTAAATGATCCTTACTTTGGGGTTATTGTTCATCACAAAATTTATCCTTCTTCTCCCAAGCAAGAAAAACAGCAAAAATCAAGCTGCATTGGAATTGTTAAAAATTTGTTAGGTCTAAAACTCAATAAAGGCATAATATAAACTCGAAGAATGAACTAAACATACTTGACATTCACTTTGCTTTGGGAAATGAATGAATTCAAGAATTCTTCTCAATGGTCTCTATTGAAATGTTCAATGAGTAGTAATATAGGCCAAGGAATGTTAAGAACTCAAAGCTTTATGATATTACAGATGTGCTTACTGATATGTTTCAGTGTTTGTTTCCTTATAATTGCATGATGCATAAAATTTGCCTGAGGTGCAGCTATCCTATGCAGTGACGGAGCCACATTGAATCAATGGGTGTCGAGCGTTACCCCTTTGCCGGAAAATTACACTATATTGCTAGGTAAATTTTTTTATTTTATGTATATTAACTATAGGTTGACTCCTCTTGATTTTTCGATGTTTCTAATTATTTATATTTTGACACCCCTTGATGAAAATTCTGGTTCCGCCACTGATCCTATGTGAGGTTGTTAAAATAACTCATTAATTACCCTTTTTCGGCACAAACTAGCAAGTTGTTTAAATTCTATGCCGAACATTTAGCATGAGGTCCGCTTTGGGGAAGACAATGCAAGTGGGGACTATTGTAAGTTCAAAGAAAATACAGGCCACTTATATACCCAATCAATTCCTCTGGAAATCATCTGGTTTAAGATTTTCTCTTATTATTAATGAATTTCAGCTCCTATAGATGAGACAGCATCGGTGGAACCACGTTGCTAGATTTCTTAAACTTTGATCTGTTAATAATGACACAATGCGTGTTAGGCATTCAAGAACTGACCTGTAATTGTAACGGCATCTGAAGGCAAAGCCAGATAGTTCATTTAATTCCATAGCTGTTAATACTGCAATAATCACAAATTATTAGAGTGATTGTCTGCCAAATCTATAGCAGTTTACCAGATTTAAAGGGATAACCACATGTGCACATTTACAATCACATCCTCAGCTCTCCTATGCATGTTTGTCGATATAAATGACCTCTCTTGGGGCTTATTTCTCTCACAAGAAACGAAAACACTAACAACCATGGCTGCTCTTTCTTCTTCAAAATCCTACCACATTCGATCAATCAGTTTGCTAGGACGATCACACCCAACCACTCAAAGAGTGGAAGAGGAGCTTAATAAGCTCAAGACATTGGATACAACAGTTTCACCAGCAGCTGAGACAATCTGTTCTGCTTTATTTGGTTTGGAGAAGTTACACAAGTGCATGGATGATCTTCTCTACTTGCCTCAAACACTTCAATCCCTTTCCAAACATCAAAACGGGAAATGGATCGAAGATTTATTGGAAAAATCAGTGAGGATTATTGATGTTTGTGGCACAGCAAGGGATCTAGTTTCTCAAAGCAAGGAAAGTGTAAGAGATCTTCAATCTGCTCTCAGAAGGAGGAAAGGAGATGCAAGTGCAGAAGCCAGCATTTCTAGATTCACCTCCGTCAGCAAAAAGATCAAGAAAGAAGCTAAAATGTCAATTGTGGCTCTAAAGCAGATGGATCATGACACAGAGATATCGTCAATACTCTTGGATGCTGATCAGCAAACAACAGCGATTTTTAGAGCATTAAGGGAAGTGAATGCCATGTGCATTTCAATTTTCCAAATGCTCTTGTTGTCATTATGTGTGCCAATTGTGAAACCTAAGCCATCTAAATGGTCAAAGATTTCAAGACTGGTTCACAAGGGAAGAATTGCCTGTGAAGACCAAGAAGAAATCATCGAAACTAGGCTGGAAACATTTGACGCTCAACTTGAAAGCTTTGAAAATGGATTGGAAGGAATATTTAGGTGCCTGATTAGATCAAGAAGCTCTCTCCTCAAGATCTTTTCTTGCTAATTTAGCATCCTCGTTCCATGAACTGTATAGCTAATCACATATAGTATAATTGTACAAAAATTTTTGTAGTTGCCCAGAAATATAGAATACTAACGAGAGATTATACTCCAATTCAACTGTCTGTGTATCTTTCTTGTGTGAATCTCCTTCCTCTCTATACTTAAACAAGGCTGCTAGCCAACATATATATGAAAAGCATTAGATCTGATAAGGATCTCACAGGTTAAAACTTTAAAGACTGTTTCACTTACACAAATTAAACAGATAGCTATACCTTAGATATTCCAGGAGACTCAATAAAAGCATAATAAACCTGACCAGATATAGTTGGCATTAGCTTCGTTTTAGGGAATGAGTTCTAAAATTCATGTCAATATAGTCTTCTTTGAATTCTTCAGGATGTAAAAATCTAAACCAAGGTTAAAAACTGAAACTTTTATAATATTACAGGTGTGCTTACTGATAATTTGATGCTGAAAGCACAATATGTTTCATTGTTGTGTCCTCAAAAGGTTTGCATGATTGTTCAACTTCTTAATTGCTCCTTTATCCTATTTAGGTTTCTAAAATAGTTGTTTAATTGGTCTTAGCAACTAAATTTTTACTCCATTTCTGGCACAAAGTACCAGGTTCTGTAAACTTATAAGTATATCAGCACAATAAAGCATGAGGTTTACTCTAGGAAGACAATGTACGTGAATATTTTTGTATTTCAAACCATTAATTACAAGACATTCGTGCAAAGACATAAAATATCAAACTGTCTTTATCCTCATTATACATCTTAACCTTCGCTTTTTTTATTAAGTAGAAAGTTCTGGTTAATTTCCTCTTCCTGCATGGTGCTTGCTATCTGGGATCAATTATTTTGTTCACAAACACGCCCAACCAGCCATACGTGTATCAATTTAATAGTATCTGCTACATCTCCAATCAACTCCCTCCAAAATGCCTCTATTTTATGATTTCCTCTTATTATTAGTAATGAATTTCAGCTCCTACCACGAGACAGCATCTGTGGAGCCACGTTGTTAGCTTCTTATACTTATCTGGTCAAAATGACATTAGGCATGCAAGAACTGACATGTAACTAATACCACATTTGAAGGCAAAACCACATTATTCATTCAATTCCATAGCTGCGAATTAATACTGGACTTATCATAAATTATTAAAGAAATTCTCTGCCAAATCTATACATAGCAGCTTACCAGATTTGAAGGGATATACCCACATGCTCAGCTCTCCTGCGCCTGTTTGCCAATATAAATGACCTAATTTCTTGGGGCTTAATTGTTCATCACATTAGCCTAGTTTATGTGATACCAATAAACCCAGCACGCTGGCCAGGGGAACACTAATTTTGCGGCCAGTTCTGTGTGCACTGAGCTTCTCAATTTATGATTGTTTAATTGAGCTATGGGTTGGTTGTTACTCCCTACGGTCCACTGATTTTTTGTTTTTTTTTTTTTAATTTTGTTTCAAATTAAGTGTCCTTTTATATATCAAGAAAAAATTAACTTTATTTTTCCAAAATTTGCACTTATTTATGTATTCCAATGTGTCAAGTTAGCAATATGCAAATTTTTACCTCAGAACAATACATTTTTGTTACCACGAGATATATTGGCAACAGCCGATCATTTGATTGGGCTGAAATTTGGAATGGGTGCACTTGACGATATGAATCATTTGAAAAATAAAGGTATTCGTTCTGTAGCAGATCTTTTACAATGCCATATAATGGCTGTAGACCTCCGAAAAAAAGACGTGTGTAGAACTGAACATTGAAGAAATCTCAAGAGAAATAAAAGATTCAATGATCTAATCAAATAATAGTACTATGGTTCGAGAGAAAGTAACAGTATCTACTCGGACACTAAATGTGTTGAATCAAGAACAGACAGTAAACGCCTTTATTATGGACGCTTAATTAAGAATAATTTAGTCAAAATACTTTCTTTCACTAATAGTTAGTACTTCTATTAAGTGTCAAAAACTAAAAAGTCATTTATTATGAACGGGAGAAAGTAATTCTCAATAGTTAGTACCCATGACACTCAAGTGGCAATTATCTCCTTTAAGAGTACGAGGTTGACTTTTGGGAAGAAAATTGGAACGAACGATTATTTTTAGGTCAAAACTCCTAATTCTTGTCTCGTTGAAATAGATCCGACCAACAAAAATAACTTTTAAGTTTCAAATTCTCTATTTTAAATTGAAAATTGAAATAATGAACCAAATTAATAAAGAAGCACGTATCTAAACTAATCTCCAGAATTTTATTTCAAATAGTTGAAATCATATTTATTGCCAATATGAGTGTTCATGTTTCGGTTTGGATTGGTTTTTCCCTTAAAAGAAATCAAACCAAGTAGGTCGATTTTATAAATATTAGAACCAAACCAAACCAATTAAGTCGATTTTTTTCTCGATTCGGTTTATGTCGGATTTTGTCGGTTTTATTGCTTTTTTTTAAATATAAGACATACACTACCAAACACATATTCCGGCGACCACATTTTCAGTGTAACACTAACAAATCAATTGCCCTTTGAGAAATCTATTATTTACCAAGATATATTGATGATAATTGAATCAAATAGTGATGAATAATTTAAGGACTCAATTAAAAATATAACACGAAATGGATTCTTACACTTAACAAAAGAAAACTACCAATCATACTAGAATGTAAAGGTAAAGAACTATACAAAAAGTGTAAACTATTAACATTTACCATTAAATTTTTGAAACTTTGTATAAAAATATACATATATATAGGTGTAATAATAAATTTAAAATAGTTACTCATATAGTCGGTTTGGTTCGATTTTTTTTTATTAAAACCAAAACCAAATCAAATTTGATCGATTTTTAAAATTCAAAACCAAAACTAAACCAAACCAAAAAGTACGATTTTTTTGGTCGATTTGATTTGGTTTTCGGTTTGATTCAGTTTTTCGGGTTTTTGTGAGCACCCTAATAGCCAAACGTGCTCCACCAGGAGAAAAGTTAATGATAATGAAAGATGGGTCCAGGCGTTTGTGAGAATATCTGCTGGCTCGTCGAGCTAGGGCTGGTGCCAGCTGCCAAGTTGAGCTAACTGGTCTTTTACCACTATGTGGTCACGGAAGCGAATTTTGAACCAAATTAGTCCCAGGCTAATGGGATCGGGTTGGGCCGGTTTAATGTCTTTTTTACATTCCTATGCCATATAGGAAACCTTATTACCCCCAATGTTTAAGGTTTGACTTAATTACACTTAGTATACCAAATTATCAATTTTATACCATAACTAATTAAGGGTATAATTAATTGTACGTTTTTTACTCGTTAATTAAAGGAATCTGAAAATTCTTCTTTGTTTATATGAGAACAGAATTTGAAGTGCTTAATCCAGGCATTCTTGGATGCAGATTCCTCCAATATTCATTCTTCGATGCAATAAGCTTCTCGTTGAAGCCTAATCCAAAATATTGCTTTTGGTTCTTCCATATATTCCAGATGATGCTATTAGTTGTGATGGAAAATCAATAGCAACTTTTGGTGAATAAATACTGCATTTCTTGGGAATGTTCGGTAATATTAACTGGAAATCTTACCTTAACATTTCCCAATTCAAACATCCATCAGAACCATTCCAGTTAGAGATAAGATGAAAACAGAACCAATTAGCAACAGAGAATATGCTAGATATATACTGAAAGAACATATATTTCAGTATATTTTCTACAAAAATTCTACAAATATACAACAAATCAGTTTAAGTATGTATAAAGCAGTATTATTTGTAAGGGTATCTACATAATTACTACATTTATACTAATTGTAGACTGTTTTTTGCAGAAGATTTGTAGAAGTTTTAGTCGTTTTTGATTTGTGAAAACAGAAAACAAAGCATCTACAATCAGAATACAAATAATCTACAATTTATCTACAAAATATCTACAAACTGGGTACATTGAATTTTAATATCCCAATTCCCATTCAATTGTAGCTTAATTGGTATTTTCAACATAATTGCATTTTTTGCAGAAGATTTTGTAGAAGTTTTAGTCGTTTTGGATTTGTTAAAACAGAAAACAAAGCATCTACAATTAGAATACAAATAATCTACAATTTATCTATAAAATATCTACAAACTGGGTACATTGAATTTTTATATCCTAATTCCCATTTAATTGTAGCATAATTGAGACTTTTGACATAATTGCGTTTTTTCAGAAGATTTGTAGAAAGTTCTTTTTTTTTTTTTTTTTTTTTTTTTTTTTGTGAAAACAGAAAATAAAGCATCTACAATCAGAATACAAATAATCTACAATTTATCTACAATTTATGCAATATGTCTTCTTCTTCTTCTTCGAGTTTCAATCAAAAATTCAGTCAAAACCAAGTCTAATCTTTACCAAAACCCCTCAAAATTGAGATATAAACTCCAAACCATATTTCTGATTATTTTCAACAACACTCAATCCAAACAAATAATGATTTTTGAAAACCCAAATTTGAATTCAAAGCTTTCAAGCTTTTTGATGGCTGTCAATGGTGGAATTGCTGCTCTCTTTTCATTTGCTTTGTATTACTGAAATTTGCGATTGAGAAATAGAGAGAGATGTAGAGAGAATTTCTGGAAACAGAGTGTATCGCAAAAACAGAGTATGGAAAATCTTGTTCTGCGTTGTGGAAGATCAGAGTGAAGCCGACGATAATTATGGAATGTGCGTGATTTGCGTTGGGGAAGATCTGGAAAATATTTAATTCCCCTTTTTTAGCGCGCAAAATAAGGAATCATAAAGCTACAGTGATTCCTTATTTAATGCATTGTATATATTAGGTAGAAATACTATTAACATGAAGGGTAATAAGCAAACTATGAACATATTTGGTAATATAGTTTCATATATGGTATATATACGAAAACGCCTCTCTCTTTTTTTTACTTCGTAAATTTATTAAACTATTACAATATAATTTATACTGTCAAACCTCTTATAATAGCATTATTTGTCTAGATACTTTTGGGCTTCTATATAAATCATATATTATAATATAACATGAAAAATTGATTATCGTCTATCTGCCCTTCTAGGATAGGGGTAAGACTGCGTACATGGTACCCTCCACAGACCCCACTTTTGAAATTATACTGGGTGATTGTTGTTGTTCTTACGAAAAATTGGTTATCAAGAAAACTAATGTTATAGTAAAGTGTTATTATAAAGCATGATTGTTATTTAGACATCTGATTGTATTTGAAAGCTTATCAAACTTGTAACTTATAAATAATCAAATTAAAGACTAAATTAAAAAAAAAAAAAAACACTAAAACTTGAACTCTAAAAGTTTGTATCAAAAATTGCTATTAAGATCAATATATTGAGAGGAAGAAAAACCTCAAAGGTTTAAAAGCCTTAAAAATTATTGAGTAATACCTTGAATATGAAAATTTTCGATCTCTTACAAGTTTTATTTTTATATTTAAACTTGTAAATTTAAAGTTTAAACATTTTCAAACTTAATAAATTCAAAAATAGAAGGTGATTTTGTATTGACAAAAGTATGAATAAACCAAAAATGGAAAATCTAACGGGGAGCAAAATTCAATAAATGTTATAAATAGAATTTTATTTATGGTGAATGTCTATATTTAGAGAGATTCTAGGGTTTATTACTTGGTGGCTAAGTCAACCTCTCCCTATAAATAGAGGGTTCTATTCCATTGTAATTCATCCCAAATCAATAAGAATTCTCTTCCTCTACTTTTCTCTGCAATACTCTTCTTCTTCTTTTATTATTTTATAACACGTTATCAGCACGAGACTCTAACCAATTGAGTAGAAGCTTTGGGATTGATCATAATGATTGTCAATTGTTCTATGAATTTCCTTTATGATTAAATTCTGGATTTAAGGTAAGTATTTTACCCTATTTTTCTCTTTTATTCTATAATTTGATTTTAAATACAAGCAAAGACAATAAATTTTGATTACAACTCTAATAGAGTTTGTAAGAAATTATAACCACCCGAAGTGGTAAAATTTCTATGTCTTGTCATGATCAAAGTCATATATGATCGTGAGCACAAGAAGTGAAAATCCGTCCCATTGAATTTGCTCCATTCTCAATCCTTTAAGAGAATGTGATAGCAATATGTGATAAGTCTGAAAGAAGATAAAATTATTACCGTGAAGGTATCAATGGATGTGGACGTGGCAATAGACGAAATTATAATCGTCATCATTGTGATAATGAGAATAATAAGGATTCTCAAAATAATCCTTCACTCTGTGAAAGTAACATTTGTCATCGATTTGACATGAGATTTTATAAAGCACATATAGATAATTATGGTCCATTCATGATGTGAATGTGACAACATCTTATTTATGAATACATAT